TCCTGCCATGTGAGTGTTTGTGTGTGGCTTAAATCGGTCACATTTGCCCAGGGATTAGTGCCACACAGACAGAGCTTTTCACCAAAACAGCAATTTTTGGCAGTAAACTGAACAAAAGTCTGGGTCAGCCTCTTCTGCGCCTCATCAGATTTGTCATATTTTAAGTAAATGCAGTACCATGTATTAATAGCACATTCTCCAGCTAAAACACTTTGCTATTGTAGGGGCTGAAAACTCCAAATGGAGAAAGACAGTATTTTCATTGCAGGTTGATCTCCATCACATGCAGCCACACAGTAATACCCCTAATACTTTCTGTGTGGCTGCAATATTTTCCTCCATAATGGTTTGCTTGAACAAAGTATCCAGAGGTAATCAGAGAGCCTCATAAATAAACAAACTGTTGATGTTTCACCTTTGCAGCGCTGCAGAGTGAGGAGTGGAGGGAGCCAAGCTCTGTGGCTGATCTGCAGCTGATCCCTCCTCCATATAGATGCCAGAAGTGTTTGTGTACATATACTGTATGTGTGTGCACGCTCTTTTGAGGATGTATACATAAGGAGCTGAAATGAAGCTGCTTCCTAGTCTTCTGATGATATTTTCACATCTTTGCTCCACTTCTTTTCTTCCTTCTGTTTAACTGCTTTGCCTACAGTGTGTTGGGACAGCAGCCAGTTGCTCATGAGCTCCCTGCTGCAGACTGAGTGAAGATATCCACTTACACATGTGGGGCTCTGGGGCCACAGTAATCCTTTTGGAGCACAAGCTTGCATGGAGAAAAGGGAGTAGAGAGGAGGAAAGTTGGATGATGTTGGGGAGACAAGAAACCAGAGGGAAGGCGAGAGAAACATAAAAACAGGAAAATGGTTTTTCATGAAGATTGAGACAAAAGAGAAAGAACAAGTAGAGAGAAGAGGAAGAGGGAAAGTAATGATGATGATACTGGCAGTAGAAAGAGGAATATTGATAATAGTCATTCACAACACGAGGACTCAGGTATAGATCATCAAATTACAAAGGATGTTTTACACATTATTGAAAGAAACCAAAAATGTAGCGGTGTTTGCAAGCAACTAGGTTCTCAAGTTACTAAAGCATTGCACTTAAGTAAAAATGTTAGGTACTCGTACTTTACTTGAGTAGTTCTATTCCAGGAAGAGTGGGTCATCCTCTAACTGTATGGTTGGCGGTATGATCCCCAGCTTCTCCAGTCCACATGTTGAAATGTGGACTGGAGCAAGATGTTGAAGCTCTACCTGCTCCTGGTGATGTCACTGGTGTGTGAATGTGTTTGTGTGTGCAAATGGGTGAATGGGAAATAGTGTGAAGTGCTTGGAGTGCACTTCAACATGTAAAGAAGTGATAAGTAACAAACCATTTACCATTTATACAATAAACTCCTCCACAGTGTACAAAATAGTTAAAATTATCTCACCCTCAACCAACTATATGCTACTATGAATGCATCAGTATAAAAAATGCATAAGGCCTATGATAAATAATAGTAGAACACCCTTTCACTACCTTTCCTCATTGTGATTACTTTTACTTTTGATTCTTTAGCTACAATTTGATAATTACAGTAACAGAATTTTACTTTGAATAAGCAATTAACTCCACCAAGGGCAGGGGTTATGTTTTTGCCAGTGTTTGTTTGTTAACAGCATAACTCAAAAAAGATTGAATGGATTTTGATGAACAAAAAACATTGTTGGAGAGGTAGGGTATTGGTGATGGAACAGCTGATTAAATGTTGGTGCATTTCATAATTTGGATATAGGAAACTTAAAATTAAAGATGGTTAAATCATTAACCATTGTGAGTGCTGGAAAAGCTGTGGACTGTATGTGAGCCCCCTTGTGGCCAAAATGTGTGGCTGTGCTGCTGAGCAGTTTAAGCACATACACAGCTGGGGAAAATCTACTCTATGCAGTAACAGCTGGGTGAGAAGGCAAAGATTTTGAGCCAGGTTCAAAGCTGTTAACATTTTCATCTGTAGGACTGGTATTAGTGTTCTGACTTTTTTTTCAGGCAGAGTAACTACTTAGATTGAGAATATGGGGTCAGTTTATCCACATAATGGCAATTTGTTCCATTTTCAGAAATGAGTGCTCTATTAGCTGGCAGCTACATCTCGCTCTGAGCACAGCAGTCATCTTGCTCTGAGCACAGCAGTCTGTAGGTGAGGATTCTGGTGTTCCAGCTGCATATTAGAGGTACGTTTCCAATGTCGGAACCTGTGCTTCCTTAAGAGTCACCTGGCATAACCTCACAGGTTGAAGCAGGTTGTCCTACTTTGTTTTTCTATTGTATTTTTGTCCTGTGTGGGTCTCCGTTTAGAGGAGGGAGGGGCTGCACTCCTCTCACACGCACTGACAGTTGAGCAGAGGACATGAGGGATCACTCCACAGTACAACAATCAGCCAGTAATGGAGACTGTAACAGCGGTTTATCAAACAGCTGTTGAACAAACTTGCCTGCAGTCCACTCACTGAAGGTCCCGTTTTA